TTAGAAAGATCTAGGAATATGACGTCAATTTGTTTGGATCGATTCAGGATATTTGCGAAATCATGGACTGTGTCAAGTAACTGAGTCGTAGTAGAAAGGCCATGACGGAAACCATGTTGATTTGAAAAGAAAAAAGCATTTTTTTTCTAAGTAACTCGCGAGGTGTTTAAAAACAATATGTTCTAGCAGTTTCGAACAACGTGAGAAACATTTGTGTCCAATAAACAGATGTCAATCAAACAAGATATGTAAGAACCATATAAGAATTATATAAGGTATATACGAACATATGAAAACCATATGAGAAACTTTGAAGAAGTTTTTTATAAGTTTCTTATGTTGATCTTGTATGTCGTTATATACATTATATAGTTATTATAGGGTCCTTTTATGTTCTTATATATCTTGTGTGATTCATACGTGTTTATTGGACACAAGAAATTTCGCATACAAATGGATTTTTCACTAGGGCTGCTGTGACCGCCAGGCCTCTGTCAGTCGTCGGATGACCGCGCTCTGCCCCACAGCACCCTCACCGGCCTGCTTGCACATTGCGACACACTCACGGCCGCTGAACGGCACACCTCCCCATTCTAGTACACCATAGCCTCCTCTATACTGACAAAGCCTGGCAGATTCCCACGAGAAGCGGCCGCCGAAATGGAAAAGGTGGAGCAGCAGACAATTGGTGAGAGGAGAGCCGCGTGACTGGCGCCCGCTGCTGCGCGACGCCGAACACACACTTCTCCAGAGCAAACAAGTATGTTTCGGGTCCTCGCCGCTGCAAAAGCTGTGCGCTGACGTCCAGATTTCCCAAGAAATGACTCTGATGCTCTGTGCTACCAGTAGTGATGCGAGGGCTCGGAAAAAAACCGGAAATTTTGGAAAAAAAACTGTTTTTTCTGGTTTTTTCCCCGACATAGTGTTCGGGAAAAAAACCGAAACCCAAGTTTTTGAAGTATTAACAAATCTATTAAGCAAATTTCTGCAACGAACGTTATAATTGATATCGCTGATCTCATCGAAAGGGAAAATGGCCATCACGCTCCTCTGAATTGAGTTTTGCCGGCAGAGCAGGCGGAAACTTAATCACGCTATACTAAACATAATACATCTTTCAGCCCCTAAGAAAACAAAACAGCGCGACGGCGGGGCAAGTGAGGAAACACAATCACCTCGGGTTGTCTGCCGCCTCGCCCCGTCGTTGCACCGTTTGCGTTGTCTAAAAACTATGCAGCAACCATCCCGAATGACCGTTGCTTTACTGTTCAGTGTGAACGCCTTATACGGAGGAGAAATGACAGTGCTGTCTGAGGCTCGTTGGTAGTGTGTACGCATGTGATGAAGCCGTGTTTCTAAGTCCTCTATGGCGTTTTTCTCGGTCAATAAATTAATATACGAGACTCTTAATTTACAGCCGGATCTCCACTACCGCACCAGCATGAACATAGCTTTAAATAACATAACAGCAGAGTGGCGAAATATAGTCGCATATGTCAACCATGGAAGAAATTAATTGCTTAATGTACTATCATGAAGGTAGTGCCATGTTGTAATGCCACGTTAAATAATCATATTCAAAGGGGAGTGAGGTTTAACAACATTGATGTATTTTGTCATGACCCTTTCCCCTTCTAAGGGTACAACTAGTTCTGCATTAAAGAGTACAGGATCAAACTTCAAAACCAACATTGGATGAGGTAGATATGCACGCGTTGACTAGATATATTTTGTAAATTAAGACGGATGTTCCAAAGCAGTGTGTTAGTTAGGGCTACTCTGACTCCACGCTTGAGTCATCTCCGTCGTGGTATTTCAGATCAGGGCTCCTGAGCTCGAGATTGGAGCGAACAAACACCAACTTCTGCACTCTGTGTCCTTTGAGTCGGTTCCTACTTTTGGTGTGGAGACCGCTGAACTTCGACCAGTTTCGTTCGCACGCAGCGGAGGAGGGCGGGACTTGGAGAAGGCAACAAGCAATTGGTGCCAGGGGTTCAGAGGCACACAGCCCTTGCCACCACGTGGACGGTGGAATATGCTTCACCGAGTCCTCCAATGCCTTCCTCGACCAAGCACCTGACTGGACCCGGTATTCGGCGAGATTTGACAATACTTTTCCCACATCGAGACACATCCTTTCTGCTGTCTCTGTGATGTAGACCATTGCGTGGCATACCTCTTCGTCACTTAAGCACCGCCCTTTGAACTTCGGGTCGAGCAAATTTGCTGCAGCATGTGCTGGACGGCAAATAAAGTTGCGTCGCTCACACAGGATTTCTGCTACTCTTTTCTTTTCGCCCGTTGTCAAGGCAGAGTTTGGAAGGGCCTCTTCGACTTGTCTTGTTACTTTGAACAGGATCTCATGGACGTCTGAGAGGACAGCAGTGTCTGACTCAGCCTCGGAAATAGCACGGGCAACTGGCTGCAACACGTGGAAGGTGCTTTGCACATCTCGCCAAAAGTAGTCTTCATCTAATATCGTTGATCTTATTTCCCTGCTCACTTGAAGCTCCGCAGCGATCACAGTTTTCTGTAAAGCTTCTTTGGTCTTCAGTAAGCCTTTTAGTGACATCAAAATGCCCGCCCAGCGAGTTTCAGCTGGTAGTTTTAATGTGGTCTGGTTTCCAGCATTGCACTCTTCTTGCCTCTTAGCAAAGTGAGCCGCAACCACGTGAGAGTTTCTGACATACTTGATTACAGTCTTGGACCTCTTGCAAACTTCTTGCAATGTCACCAGTTTGAGCATGTCCGACAGCAACAAGTTTAGTCCATGAGCACAGCATCCAAGAGTAGTGATGCTAGGGTAGCGCAGACTGACAATTGTCCACGCGGCCTTCATGTTGCTTGCATTGTCGGTAACAAGAGCGAAAACCTTGTCGGTTCCAATTTTCTCCACAACCTTCACAATCTCTCCCGCGATGTAGTCTCCTGTGTGCCTGTGATCTTCCGTCTCCACGGCGCTGTAGAAAATAGGCTTCGGTGTAGCCAACACAAAGTTCAAGATGCTCTCGCCCCGTACATTGGTCCAGCTGTCCGTGAGTACAGTGACGCACAGAGCGGCGTTGACTTTCTCTTCCACCTGCGTCATCACTCAGGCATACTCGGCCTCCAAGAGTCGTCCACCTAAAGAATGCCTGGAAGGCGGCACGAATGCGGGCCTGAGGAGCTTGAACGCTTCTCGCCAGTATCTGTTTTACGTAACTGATAAAGGCGTTCCACTGGCATATATCGCTCGAGCCAGCGCCTCATCAAGCTTTGCTTTGACACCCTTGCGTCATTCTGTCAACGAACGCTTCTATAGAAGTTCGCTGCTTGACATACCTGTCGGCCTCATTTTGAGAGCTTGTGCTTTCATTTTCCACAGGTGCACGCTCTGACCGTAAAACTTCCACAGATGGGCTCCTGGACCGACATGCCCCAGACTCTGATTTTGTCGGGTCGTCCGATGCTGCAGACCTGATGTCCGGGGGGCACTTCGAGCACCTTTCGATCTGCTGCCGCAAGCGAGTTGCGTTGGGAAATTCGTATTTGGCACAGCAAAATCTGCACACCGCTGGCCCCTTACCACTGTTTAGCACGTCAAAGTTCCTCCAAACGTTGGAGCGCGGCCTCACCATAGCGAACAGCGCACAGTTTTCACGGATCCACGGCGAAAGTCCATACCCGAGAACGATGCGCGCGAGGTTTCGGAAGCGGCGCTGTTCAAGCTAAAGCGTTATAGCTGCCCTGGCTGAGCTCTCCACGGCGCACAGCACACAGTTTTGACAGCTCCACGGTCCACGGCAAGTGTCCACACCAGAGTAAGATGCTCAGAACTTTCACTAAGGGGCTGGGAAAGCTAAAGTGATATGGCTCCTCCGACTGCCCGTCGAGAGCGCCAACGGCACCGGCGGGGACGAAGAACTGCGTAGGTGCTATCGGTTTTTGCCAGATGAGTAGTCAAAGCTCAGCTAAATTGACAAAAGTTGTCGTAAACGTTAAAAAACGTGATATAATATAATAGTTCACCGTAAAACTGGCGGAAATATCTTGCGGTTGTTGACCTCTGTCGATATATTTCGAATCATTACTGAATTATAGCTGTTGAGAATATTTTTCGAATGTGTCCAAAATTTCCGGAAAAAAACTTGTTTTTTTCGTCGTTTTTTTCCGGCCTTCAAAATTTCCGGAAATTTTACATCTCTAGCCCTGTCGCAAATTTGGAGCGCGAGGATCTGGTAGCCTACCAAATCCTCGCGCTCCAAATTTGCGACAGGGCACTCTTTGGCTCCGTCGTCGAACTGCCGCGGTTTGTGAGTATAACCGCTCATTCACGCTGGAAGCCAATCCGCGCTCGCAAAGCAGTTGCGAACGCGGTGCTATAAAGATCCAGTGCAATTGCACGCGCACTCGATGGCATCAAGAGCGCGTGCAATTGTACTGGATCTGTATACAACCGCGTTCGCAACCGCATTGCGAACGCCGATCCGCTTCCAGTGTGAATGAGCGGTAACGGAGGCTATGAGTACACCCTGCCTGAGGCAAGGTTCTGCCAACCTCCACGGTCGTTTCTTCCCAAAATTTTATCAAACAATTCCCTGGTTTCCCCAAGATGTTCAGGAAATGTGTTAATTTGCTTGAATGCTGAGATTATCGTTACGGAGCACCTTAAGAATAGAATTATGTAGTTGGGTGACCATTTAAAGGTTAAATTTGCTTCGTTAAAACCTTTTTACATAATTAAACTGTGTTACTTTGGCCTTGGGTGGTCCCCTAAATTCGCTGTTGTTCCCACTGGAGATTACCTCTGGTCCCTATAACATCCAAAGAAGCCTTTTTCCCGCTGCACTCGGCCGGCACGAGGAGGAAAAAGGGAAGGAACGTGTCTCTACAACCCACTGAGACCTAATTAAAGTCAATCCCTAGATTCGAACAAATTTCTCTTTGTCCCTAGAATATAATGCAACTCCCTAGATATAGGGCAAAATCCTTAAGGTTTTCAGCACTGGCTCTGTCTCTACATGTCTTATTCTTTCGTGTTTTTCAAATTGCCGCAGAACGAAGGCGTGTTCGGGAACATAACCGGAAACTCTACGGTCTCCTTCTGCACTACACTGCGCAGGTGACAGGCAAGGCGGTGTAAAAGTTCAGAAGACGGCTACAATTTGTGTTATTTTTGATACAAAGGAGAGCTCATCTACTAAAATATTTACCAGTTCCTTCACTAGGAGTGAAAAAACTCCCGCAATTATTAGACCCAAGTCTCATAATCACCGTAACTCATGATTTACCAGACCTCTGCCCCTCTTCAAAAAGGCATTGCTTATTTTTTACTTCAAAAGATATGCATATATTACTTTGTTAAAAATTTAAATGTTTATTATATCAAACAATCTAAATACAAACTCAAATTAAGCAAATATGGACTTCTAATAGATCGGTTTAGCCCACCAAGTGAGTACCCTATAACAATATGGCAAACTTCTCAGATCATTTTAGAAAGAACTTATTCCGAATTGAAACGTGATAAATAAGTTCAATTCGGGTAAGAAATCCACAGATTCTGAAATATTCTATTTTTAACAAAATATTTTCGAAATTGACTTTAACCGAAGAAGTGGAGACACAGCTATATTCCCTGTAAGTATTATAGACGGCAATCATACTGTAGTAGTCAATACTAATTAGAACCCTAGAACGTATACTTTTTAAGGCTATGCCCGACATTATTTTTTTTTTTGCATTAGGTTATATGAACCATTTTTGCAATACTTGAACTTGCAATCACCATAATATGCCGCCGTAATATTAGTCCAGAGGATGTTATAAGTGACTCGCAGCGTGCAACAAGAAGAAGCACATGCTTATTTTAAAACTTTTATATTCTTCAAGAATAAGTTGAATATCCCGCAGTCTTGCCTATGAGCGTTTTGTGCTTATGGCATGTTATACTTTCCCTATTTATAAAATTAAAACAAAGTGCTCGCATATTGTACGAATAGCCACGAAGGGGAATATAGTATTTTTCATAAAATACTGCTGCCAGAAAGTCATATAAACCCTAGTAAATTAATCTGATATGAATAAACATTTCTCTGTCAATTAAACGCATAGGATCAAATAAGATCATATAAAAGCATAAAAGAACTTTATAAGATCATATAAGGAAAATAGAATATTATCTAAGAAGTTAAAAGTAACTTCTTATCAGTTTGGTATAACTTCTTATATTATCTTATATTGCTTTTATGTACTCTCATAAGGTTCTCGTATGCTTTTCGCATCGATAACAACGACATGAAAAGATCAGTGAGAGAGACCATTAGGATAAAGACGTCTGCCGAATGCATCAGTCAAACATCCGTCCACTTAAGTTCAGACGCCGAAAATATTTTGCGGCTGACTGGTTTGAGGGAACCGGGATGACATCGGGGTGTCGCGGTGCGTGTGTGTTGACAGGAGATTTGTCGGCGGCTTTGTGACTGGTTTGGGAGCACCGGAGTGACCTCGGGATGTCGCTGTGTATGAGCGTTAACACAAGATTTGTCGGCAAATTCGAGTTGGCGACGTCTGAGCTTATTTCTGACTGGAATGTACGGGGGCCTCGGAAAAGGAAGAGGGAAGGAGTAAGGGGTTTCGGGAAGAGAAAAGAAAAAAGAGGGGGACAAAGGGTGGCGAGTGACATGTATGTTTGTCCTATGAAATAAAGTTTGTAGCTGCGTTTGAGACTTCGTCCGTGTCGTTGTGTGTTTGTCCCTGGTCCGCATCGCCAGTCTCGGGTTTACAGCTCTGCTCAATTTACACCAGCTAGCCTGCACCCTCACCGTTGCCACATTCTGATTCCCTTCGCGCTGACTCATCTATCAACTTCCAGGTGATTCAACGTCGGTCCAGATCTGAAGCCGAGAACAACTACTTCGAGAAAGTTATCAAACATTACGAGAGTGGATTTAAAACACAGGGGGGAGCTTCGTGGATAGGCAAGTACAAATGTATAACTCCTTCTGTATTAGCATCCCAGAAAAGGCAACCCAAACCTGGAGCACAAAACAACTGCTTTTAAATGGCGACCTTAGAAATTGCAACGGTAGCGCGACAGCTTTTTGTCACAGGAATGACTGGTTCGGGGCAGTCGCTTCCGGACCAGTTTTTTCGGACCGGAGGCAGAGTCACTTGGTCCCTGAACTAGTCAGCAGCGCCTCGAACATCCAGCACTTCTGCGGCAGTTGCAACAAACATGCCTGTCATTTCGCGGCAACGTAACTAGATTTGCTATAACTAACGTTTGGTCGCTGTAAGGAGCATAAATAAAGAGCCAGTGTGGTTTCTGTGGTAGCTCTGATCAGCGCTATTTAATAGTACTCATTTCTCTATAACAAGCAGCATCCATGTTTGAAGGAGCCCCCAAAAATAAACTCAATCTGATAGCCAATCCGTGGCTTATGACTTCACAGGTACGTATATTGTACCGGAAAAAAAAAAAAAAAACAAGAAAAAAAAAACGCAACTCCACGTTGTGAATGATGTTGATTGGGGCGAAGCTTTGGTGGTGCGTGTCTGCGTAGACGCTGAGCCGCAGCATGCCGAGCCTTTCGTTCGTTTTCATCCATGTCACGCTGCGGTCAAATGCTCAAATGCGTAAATAACCACTTTCCATACCACACATTCTCTTTCTGACATGGATGAAAACGAACGAAAGGCTCGGCATGCTGCGGCTCAGCGTCTACGCAGACAAGCACCACCAGAGCTTCGCCCGAATCAACATCATCCACCACGTGGAGATGCGGTCGTTTTTTTTTTTTTGTCCTACACGAGCACGGGAGCACGTGCTCACGTGCTCGTGAGCACGTGAGCGCGTAAGCTCACGAGCAGGAGCACGAGCCCCCGACGCCGGACATCGGACGGACATACGGACATTTATTTTTATTTATTTATTTACATACCTCTAAAGGCTCCAAAGGAGCATTACATAGAGGGGGGTGTCGTATAAACTTTTACATAATCATACAATATTTTACAAGAAAAAATAGAAGACATCGTGTCACGCTAAACAGAACCATGAAGGGAAGACATTACATAACAAAAAAGCCACACACGCACTCACATCATTGGAGGCAGTCGACGTGCTAGAAAAAAAGCAATAGACCCAGCGAGCGAGTAACATACAGGGCAATATATGATTCATTCACCCTAAAGATTCACGCAATAACAACATAAATGTATCATGATCAGTGACCGTCGCAATTTCGCTTGCCAACTCATTCCATTCAGTCGCCGCTTGTACGAACGGGGAGTATTTGAACAGATTAGTTCTTGCAAATGGAATATGAACTTTGTAACAATGATCATGACGAGGGGAAATGCGAGCCGGTGGGAGAATGTTGTTTTGACGGACATCTGAGGAACTATGATAGAGTTTATGAAAATGGGATAACCTTGCGAGGTATCTTCGCTGGTGGAGAGTCAATAAACCAAGTGAACTCTTAAGTTGACTGACGCTTATAGGTGAATACGTTTTTAGTATAAACCTGGTGGCCCTGTTTTGTAATGATTCTAAATTATTAATTAAATATTTTTGATGCGGGTTCCAAATTATAGCTGCATATTCCAACTTGGGCCTAATGAGGGTAGAGTATGCAAGTAGCTTCGTTTCTGCTGTTGCCATATATAAATGCCTTCTTAAGAAACCAAGTGACTGGTTAGCCCTCCTAAGGATATAATCTAGATGAGTGTTCCAGGAGAGGTTGAAAGTTAAGTGGACTCCTAAATATTTATATGTGGATACTTTATGCAATTTTGAATCTATAACTTTGTAGTCGTATTGAAAAGATGAGCGACGATTGGTAAATGTCATTATTTTTGTTTTATCTATATTTATCTGCATTTGCCACGTGTCACAACATGAAAGTATGATATCCAAATCACTTTGAAGGGCCTGGCAGTCGCTTTGACTAGATATTTGACGGTATACCACACAGTCGTCTGCAAATAGGCGAATCTTTGAAGAAATGTTGTTGAGGAGGTCATTTATATAAATTAAAAACAAAAGTTGTCCAATAACGGATCCTTGAGGGACACCAGATTTGACATGTATAGGTGGTGAGGTGATGTCATTTGCAAGTACTGATTGTTTTCTATCGTGCAAAAACTCACGAATCCATGTAATTACCTTATCATTAATTTTGAGATATTGTAGTTTTTTTTATCAGACGACTGTGTGGTACACGATCAAAGGCCTTCGAAAAGTCTATAAAAATAGCGTCGGTTTGTGAGGATGAGTGAATACAGGTATGCAAATCCGTTACCAGTTCAAACAGTTGGGTTTCACACGAAATACCACGTTGAAAGCCGTGCTGATTGGGAAATAGCAGGTTGTTTGAGACTAAGTGTTTCATGACAGATGAATATATTATGTTCTAAAAGTTTACAAAGAACAGAGGTCAATGAAATTGGTCTATAGTTTGTTGGGCAATTCCGATTACCAGATTTATAAATCGGCACGACATTTGCTGATTTCCATTCGTTCGGAATGTGGCCAGTATTAAGCGATTGCTGGAGTAAGCTGGCAAGCACGGCGCTTGATGCATCCTTTGTTAGTTAAAGTAGCTTCGAGCATACACCATCAGGACCCGGGCTGGATTTTGTCGGCAAGCGGTTAATGGCACTGATAACACCATCAATATTGATTTGCACATCGTCCATTTCTGGAATGACGATTGTAGGTGTAACATGGCTAGCCCCTAAAGGTGTATCCACACGACGGACCAAATCGCTGTTTTGGTCCGCGGGCCGCGCATCACGTGATCTCACGTCATCGGTCTTTGAGGTCCGCCGGCGATCCGCGGCCCGCGCTTCTGAGAAACGCCAAGCGACTTTTCTCGCCCGGACCTTGGCGGCGGACCGCAGGGTTTTTAGTATAATTGAAGCACTAAGTCTGGCAACAAGCTGACTTTTGTTGTTTGGATTGGAATCCAAACTCAAAGTCGTTTTATTTTAGCGCCAACTGTTGAAGACAAAGAAGAAAAACCTTTTGTTGTGCGGCGATGCAACTTGTTACTTCATCGCGCTCATTTAGCAATTCCCCGCTCTGTGGGACAATAGTCGCGACGACTACTCAAATAATCATCTAAAGATGTCCCCATGCCTCTTTGGGTTCACTTAAGTCCTCCTCGTCCTCAATAGTCAACGCCAGGGCCACCGCGGTCGAACGTCTTTTTCGTTCAACCTCCATCTTGGCTCCTTACAAATAGCCTCAAAGCAGCTCGCTGCATGCGTTTGGCGGAGCTGTGAGGTCGAGGGTTAGACCGGCCCGTTCACCCTGTCGTCTGCTCTTTTGGTCCGCCGTGTGGATGCTCATTGCAGCCGGGCGGCCCGCGGGCCGCGCATCACGTGATCAATCGGTCCGCGGCCCGGTCCGTCGTGTGGATACACCTTAATGGTGTATTCACACGAAGGACTTCGTCCGCGGACAAGTTCCTACAAAAGGCGTGACGTCACCTTTTCCGGGGTATAAAATCGGCCATTCTTCTTGCGAAAAGAGCAGGCAAAACCAGGGGACATGTCCACGGACCTGAAAAACGTGTCCTCGGACCTGATATATCTTGCGTATCACGTGGGCGAACGTCACAGAATATGTCCGCGGACCTGCCGGACCATGATTATAGGAGTATTGAAAGCGATCCAATTCTGCCTTTTTTCGAGTCCGCTGTGGTTCTCGGACAAGCCAGGGAACCGATTGCGTGAAAGTGCTCGTGGTACACTTCGGTGCACGAGCGGTTTTCTTTTTCTTTTATATGCCTCTCACGGTTCTCGCGCACGGATAAGCCTTTGCTCATTTTCCAGTACGATTAGTACGCACGAGCTACAGCTGTGGAAGATGTTCGAGGATTCCTGCGCTTAGTGGAAAGAGGAGCCGAAAAGAAAAAGAAAGAAAACGACGGGAAATTGTTTTCGATTCGAACATGGAGGCCAACTAGGCTTCACGAGTTGTTGTGGCTTGTGCCCTCATGATGGCGGATGAGGAAGTCGCGGAAGCACCTAATACCGACGCAAAAAAACCATGGATTAAAACATGGATGTCCAAGAAGGAACTCGGTATACAGAATCTACTCTATCAAGAACTTCTGAAGAGCGACCCCGTGGAGTACCGCCGCTTGCTGCGCGTTGACTCCAACCAGTTTGCTGACATTCTCTCGTAAATTGCATCGTGCATCCAAAAACTCGTCACTGAAATGCGTCCAGCCATTCCAGCCAAGGACAAACTTCAACTGACGTTCCGGTTTCTTGCTTCAGGTGTGTGGTTATTCTTCTTACTTTTGTCTTTGTTTCAGCATATTTGAGAGCTACGCTCGACTTAGCCGTGTTTCTTGTTTTCTTGCGAATTTTCAGGCGAAAGTCAACATTCCTTAAGCAGGCAGTTCCGCATTAGCCACAGCGCCGTCAACGGGTTCCTCGTTGAAACTTGTGACGCCATTTACAAAATGCTGGGACCAAAATATCTGGTGTCCCCGCGGACGAAAGATGAGTGGCTTGCAGTAATGAAGAACTTTTACGAAAGATGGCAGTTTCTGCAATGTATTGGAGCGCTGGACGGAAAATATGTCACAATTATCAAACCTCCGAACTCTGGATCTGTTTATTTTAATTACAAGAAGACCTTCAGTATCGTGCTTTTTGCTCTTGTTGACGCAGACAGCAGGTTTTTGTACATTGATGTTGGCGCACCTGGGTCTGATGGAGATGGAGGCATTTGGAGGACGACACCACTGCGGAATGCCATCGAGAACGGAACAGCCGGGCTGCCGATCTCAGGACCTGGACCGGTCGTCCCACCCGTCATCGTGGGAGACGACGCCTTCCCCTTGTCTGTAAACTTAATGAAGCCGTACACTGGTACAAATTTGGATGAAGAAAAGGTTATATTTAACTACAGGTGTGTTGCCTACATCATGTCATTTCTAAACACCGTATTTCTTATCGT